TAATTTATTTGAAAATATGTTTTTTAATATGCGTGTTAAAGTCATGGCCAGATATCCTTTGAATTAAAGTTCAATATTAAAAAAGTATATTTTCTAGGTTATAATATAGTTTTACTCACAGACTGTACTCGTAGTATGTCTGAATCAACATGCCAATATATCTCTGAATTCTGAACCAGGTCGGTAAAACCAAAGTAAAGATAAATCTTGAGTGTTATAGGAAACCACAATCTTAGAAAATGTTTGAATTTTTCGCAAATTGTTCGAAGAGCTATGATGTATAATTAAAATGCTAATTAACAGATCTAATTATTATGCTCATTCGACAAGTGACAAGTGGGCCGATGGCGATCGCTTTGGCAAGGATTTCGGTGGGTCCGCCCGCCACCGCCCCGCGGGGGCCGCATTTTTTCCAGACCCACCACCGAAGGGGTTGATTTTTTAAACTGATGACGCGCTTTCATTCCGCGCTGTGCAACTTGCCGCGCGGCTGTATGTGTGTCGCTCGTTGTTGTTGATAAATAAATAATAAAAAAATATGTGGACGCTTTGTCGATAGTGCCTGTTTCCCCTTTGCGCGGCGGTATCTCCAGTCTATAGTTCCGTTTCAAACCGGCTTCGAAAACAACTTTTGACAAACAATACAACTTTTGACGCGCGTACAAGAAACTTATTAGAAATTGAAAAAAAAAATTTGTGTTTTGGTATCAACAGTATCAATTATTAATAGTCGTTCTTTTAAATAACTTAAATAAATATTACATTAAAAATAATTCTCTCGCTTATTACCTATTTATAAAGTTACCTGTATTATTTTCTATAAACGGTGCGGTGGCGGATAAAATATCGGACGTTTTTCTCGGTTGGACAGAATTCGGCCAAAGTTTTGCGAAGTACAACGAAGTTCCGACGACGGGACGTGCTTTGGAACATTCAGAGAATTTTTCGAGAAATGACAAATTCGTAAGGACCGCCTCAATTATTTGAAATAAAGTGAAAATTTCAGGAGCCGTGAAGAGAATGACATTGTCCTTTGTAAGTATTAAAAATACGTTTTTTTATACTTTGTTCTAATATTTTACTTATCTTAGTAACATTTAGTTCCGTTTTGGTATTTAATATACCTAATAAAACATTATATATTTGTAAGTTTGAAGTTTAAGTATTATGATTTTTCACTAGTAACATATGATTAAAATATAATATACAGCATTATAGCCTAAATATTGTATTTAATAAAAGTCTCAATTATATCTTAACTCTATCATTTTAATAACTTCTCAAAATATTTCTGTGTGCTTCTTTTGCATAAAAGTATAAAAATATACAAACATTATTCTTACTTAAATAATAAATTATTGAAAAAAATTAACGCACATTTTTATTTTCAGTTACGTGTTTTATTTTCTTATATTTGTAATGTTATTCATATATAAGACAACAACAACACAGCGCTAAAACTTTTAGTAACAATTATTAAACAATAATTTTCCATAAAACTTGATAGATATAATTTTATTATAAATTATTATATCATTATATTATAATTTCCTTGAAGTAATTTAAACTGTATTTAATAGCCATAATAATTACAGGCAAACCGGACTGACCTCCAAGCCGTAATATTGTTTATAATGTCATTACATCAGATAAAAATGCGTATAAAGATGATTATTCTAATTTATTTATTAATGACATCAACAGTGCACTGTCATTTCTTTCATAATCCGGGATAAAGTATATATCTGTATATATATCTGCCATAAAGTATATAGTATATAAAACAAAGGCGTAAAGAAGTTGAAATTTTGACACTAAAGCTTTTTTATCTGAATTAAAAATTGAGATGCAAATATATAATTGAGAACTTACGAACGACTTTACATTTATAATGCCGGCGTGAAATAGCAAAATTTATGTTGCAGAAGTGAACGGCAGGGTCGGAAATAGATGTCCTAAGTGAAAGTTTATCGACCAAATTGACGATATATTGAAAATTGGCTAAATTAAAAGTACCCTTAGCCGACGAGCATGTATGCGTAGATATATTATGGATGTGCAGGAGGCGAAAAAGGTGTGTCCGGATCGTGCCAAATGGAAGTCTGTAGTCTCTGCCTACCCCTCTGGGTGACAGGCATGAGTGAGTGATTGTGCATGGAGTTAACATGCTACAAACAATCCAAAAGTAATTAAACTTATAAAAATATAAAACTGACTTTAAATAACTTAAAAATATACATATTATCATTCAAAGTGGTGGACGTGGTAGAGAACTATTTGCTCATCAGATAGATACCTTTGACAATTTTTTAATGAATTCCATCTTTAGATGATAAAATTTATATGGGAAATCCCCTGAGGTAAACCCTTTCTAAAAAGGAATCATTGAAATCGGATCACGTGGTAATAATATGTCGATTAACACATTTACTTGAAAGATGAAGTCGGTTATAAATTAAGAGAAAAACTAGCTATAACAGTTTTTAACAAAATCAAATATATAAATTTAAAAGATATAATGATCATTAAAATACGTATTGGTTTCCATTTCACAGTCGATGCTGAAAATTTCATCTCCTTTGGCGCATATCTTATTTCACGCATATTAAATATACTGCATTTTATTAAATATTTTTAGTGACTTCCACAATATTCATTAAATATAGTTTTTCCATTAGATCTTCCTTGTTTCTAAGATTATCACGCTGATTAATAAATGATATTATCTCAGTGTAATTAATAACCATTCTTTAATTTCACTAGCATTGAATGTAAACCTTAGAAGATTAGATGATCAAAATATTACGATGTATCTCTTTGTACTATATATAAGAATTTTATAATTCCATTGTCTACGAACCTTTCTAGTCGCCGCCTTACAAAAAACACAAACAAGTCCTGTCATAATGATTTCTTATATTTACGCGAATGCTACACATTAAATGAGACTAATTTTTAAGTATTTTATTGCGTTTACTTTTTAATTCCCGAACTGAGGTGTCTGAGTTTCCGATGTCACTGCTGGTCCCGGCAAGTTTTTGAAAAAAATATTAATATTCAAAATCTGAAGGTAGCCGCGCTAACTATTACATCAGGACGTTTTTTTATACGATAGGGTGACAAACAAGCACACAGTCCACCTGATGGTAAGTGGTTACTGCGGCCCATAGACATCTACATCTATCCTCGATTACGAATCAAAATGCAGATGTGTTGTCACTCGTGATGACTTAGGTGGAATGCCTCTTTTCCAGTAAAAAGGGTCTCCGGTTCTCTACACTCACCATACGAAACACAGCAGCATTAAGCTACTATTTGACGCTGGTATTCTGTGAGAGCGTGGTCCTTCCCCGGTCGAGCTGACCCATTCGTGCTACAACTATACTACTAATATAACCGCAGCATGGCTCTACCACGTATAAAAACATTTCAGTCGCCCCCCCCGTAAATCAAAATCCGTAAAGATTAATTTCATTTAAAACCCTATCATGTAACATCAACTAAATATAAAATAATTTTTAAATAAAATCACACTATAATAATACTGTCAAACTGATATTTAGTTACGCGTTACGTTCTAATTTCATGTGCAGTAAATATTGTATAGCATGATTATTATTATATAGCATAAACGTACTGAAAAATATATTTTTTAGTACGATTATTATACATGCTAAAAATTATAATGTAGCTGCAACGTGGCTCTACCACTAAAAAAAAAGATTTTTTTACGTGGTAGAGCCACGCTTCGGCTATATTATATTTGTTGCACAAATGGGTCGGTTCGATCGGGGCAGGACTACACAATACCAGCGTTAAATAACAGTGTAAAGCTGCTGTGTTTCGTATGTGTAGTGTATAAAACCGTAGACCCGCTTTTATTGGAATCGAGGCATCCCCTCTTAGTCCTCAGGGGGACAACGCATTTGCATTTTGATTCTTAATTGAGGATAAATGTGGATTGCTATGGGCCACAGCATCCGCTTACCATCACGTGGACTGTGTGCTCATTTGTCACCCAATGCTATAAAAAAAGCTTGAAAAACTTACAGTCCTCCTGATGATGAGTGGCTACTGCCTTCCATGAACAACGAGGACTAAAATTGTATTGTCACCTCTGCAGACTAAAATTGAATGCCTTGCAGTCTGTAATTAATTAAACTGGTTCTCTATTCCCTTCAAAATAGAACACAACAGTGCAAGCACTACTATTTGGCAACAGAAATAGGTGTGATGGACCTACCAAGACGGACTGCTATGCAGAAGTTTTTTTTTTACTTTTTTTTTACTTGGTAGAGCCACTCTGCAGCTATATTAGTTGCAGCATGAATGGGTCGGCTCAACCGGGGTAGGACCACGCTCTCACAGAATACCAGCGTAAAATAGCAACTCAAGGCTGTTTTGTTTCGTATAGTGAGTGTAGAGAACCGGAGACTCTTTTTTACTGGAAACGAGGCATTCCATCTTAGTCCTGAGAGGTGACAACGCATCTGCATTTTGATACTCAATCGAGGATACATGTAGACGTCTGTGGGCCCAACTTCCACTTTTTTTAATGAAATAAGGGTGACAAACAAGTACACAGTCCACCTGATGGTAAGTAGATGCTGTGGCAATTAGACATCTACATTTATCCTCGATTAAGAATCGTTGCGTTGCGTTGTCACCCCTGAGGACTAAGATGGAATGCTTTGTTTCTAGTAAAAAAGGGTCCCCGGATCTCTTCACTCACCATACGAAACACCAGCAGTATTAATCTGCTATTTTACGCTGGTATTCTGTGAGAGCGTAGTCCTCCCCGGTCGAGCTGACCCATTCGTGCTGCAACGTGGCTCTACCACGTATAAATCACTTACCATCAGATGGACTGTGTGACCGTTTGTCACCCTTATTCTATAAAAAAAGAAGTCCTATCACGTACTAAGCGTTGAATGCAGCGTAGTTCTGTTACGTTCACAGATTTAAAAAGAAAGTGTTAAACGTGAGTATTTGTTTGTCAGCAGGCGGAATCGGACCGCGAGAGCGGCGCGAGCTCGCCGGAGGGCGGCGGGCGGCAGCTAGCCGAGGCACGTTCTCCATCACCACCGCGTGCTCGCACGCCGCACCACCAGCCGCACTTGAATGGCTCCAGTGAGTTCGTACAACCCGTTTTATTTCACTCCTTGTTGTTGTAAAATTCGTGACGTAGCGGCTCAAAGAAGTTTGTATAATAATTTTCGCGACATCTGCTGTAATAAAAGAAAAGGTCCAAGCGTAGTTATCGCTTTGTGAGAATAACTTCCTCTGCAAATTAATGTTGACCTCTTTCGTCTTTTAAGGGCCGATTTTTCAATCAGATGAAAGTTATTCATTTAATAAAATACAACATAAACTAATTAAAAGTTACAGTTGTATGCAATTGTTTCACTTTTATATTTAATAAAGTTATTATTTAATTAGACGATCGGGATACATTTTATTAGAGGATTGGAAAGTCGGGCTTTAATATTTGTCACTTTAAATTTTTTTTGCAAAATTGTAATGTAAATTAACTTTTTTCTCATTTTAATTTCCATGTCCGTATTTAGAAAATAATTTAAATTTGTGCTATTTTTTCATATTTTTGGAGAATACTAGAAAATAGTTTTTATCCAATATTTAATTAGATATCAGTGACAATCTGTTGAAGTACTTTTTCAAGTTCTAGTAAATTGGGCTGTGTTCGGAAAATCGGTGTAATGTAGATAAACACATTGAAGTATATTCTATAAAATATTAATTAATGTTTTATTTTACCAATATTTCTATGCATGAAGACGCTACTACGTCACGAGTATGCATTTTTCTTCCATGTATTTAATTTCACTATTATTGTTAAATGTCTTTTAATAATTGTAAATAAAAACTAAGTATAATTTAGTAATACAAAACTATATCATTTACTTTACTTATATTTCTTTTTTTAAACCCTCATACTTTAAATATTGAAAAATGGAGACTAATCATAGCGATTCTTTCGCAGTGGCGTCGATGTTCCAAAACCTGCAAAATTTGGCAAACATGCAGCAGAACATGCCGTCGATGTCACAGCAGCAAATGTCGCAGCAGATGTCGCAACAAATGTCGCAGCTGGCTGCCAACCTGCAGGGGCTTACCTCCATGCCCTCAAATCCGGTCATCAACTCACCTCTTAACCTCAGCGTTAGTGCTCCAGGTGAGATACATTATGACATATTGTTTATGACAAATCTGAATAAAGTAAAATAGCATCATCATTATCGTCATCATTACAACCTATCCAAGTCAAGAACATAGGCCATAAAGATTTTCTCATATGAAGGATACTTGCAATAGTTACCACACATAGCGGGCGGTTTCGCTTTATTTTCTGTTCCCTCTGTCACATCTTACGACAACCACAAGATGATATGGAGTAGTGCATATTCTTACACCGCCGTGTAACTCACCACGCAGTGTAACATAGCTTAAAATATATAATACCTAATTATAAATATTATTTATTACAAATCTCGTACAAAACATTAAAATGCCTAAAATATTTTTTTAACTAGTTTTGGTGACAAACGAGCATCAGTCCACCTGATATCAAGCGGATGCTGTAGCTCGTAAACTCCTACATCTGTCCTCGATAAAGGATCAAAATCCAAATGCATTGTCAACCCAGAGAACTAATATTTTTCATCACTCACCATGCCAAGAAAAGCAGCATTCTGTGCGAGCATGGCCACCAAACCATGTTACTCTTGCGCCCTCCTTTCTGCCAAGGAGGGTCGCGTTCGTATACGGCTTAGAGATCTCTAGTCAGATCGTTAAGCCAATTCCTAAAAGGCGGTGTTTAGTGGGTAAAAGTCTCCACACACCATGTTACTCGTCTACAACAAACATTGTTTTGTAGTAAAAATCTGATTCAATTCTTTCGAATTTTTAAAACAGTTATACTGATATCGACGACCATCGTTCAGTTAAATATGTATATAGTTATTTATTAATCGCTTTAATAAGCTTAGTGAAATTATTTGAAGTCAATGATTTTTTTACCGTTCAATAATACAGTTTTTATAACATAAACATCTCATTTGTATGTAATAAGGCTGTTTAACGTATAATGATATCTTTCCGCAAATGAACATAGCATTTGCAAGTGATAATTGTATTCAATTCAATATACAGTAACGTATAAAAGCAAGTGTCTCCATCTATCGACACTCATAATCATCTTACAACTGCCCTCCCACGCGTACAGGTGTAAAGAATTAATAAAAACTTTGTAGCATATTACGCGCATGGAAGAATGTGAGATTTGGAATTAAGTTAAAGTTTTAGTATATGGATGAGCCGTGGTAGCTCAGATGGTTAGCGCTCGCTGTAAATTTCACAATACCCGAGCAAACCGGGTTCGATCCCCGCCGGCACCAATGAAATTGTTAATTGCAATTTTAAGTGCTGATTTACCACGTGCTCGTCGGTGAAGGAAAACATCGTGAGGAAACCTGCATGTCTGAGAAATAAGAAAAAAATTATTTCGAAGACATGTGAAGTTCGCCAACACGCATTGGGGCAGCGCGGCGGACTATTCCTTGCCCTAAAACCCTCTCAGATATGAGAGGAGGCCTGTGCCCAGCAGTGGCACGTATATAGGCTGTAACTTTACTTTACTTTACTTTTGTATATGGATTAGGTAAACAGGAAGCTAAAATTTATTTGTATGCATATTATATGTATGTTGTGTTATACATAAACATTAAATTCAATGCAATAAAACACTCTTTGGTTACTTTCATACTGCCAATGTCAAACATCGTCTGTGGTCAAACAATCGCAGATAGTTAAGCAAAGAATATATAATCACTAAGTTTAAGAATAGAGATTGTCATCAAAGAATTTATTAATTTTGCCAACAAAGAATTACTTACAGACTGACCTGAATGAGCTGTGAATTTTGTGTGATTTCAATGTATGTAGATGGATAATAAAACTTGGGAAGGATGATCGCTACCAAGCTAAAATTTCTAATTTGTTATGTGTTGTTAATCAATCGCTCAGCGAGCTATGGAGAGGGCTACGCTCGGAGTTTCTTCTAACTAACTAACTAGTATGATGAACTTAGGAATGAGGATATCTGCAGGAGAACCAGTGCAGATTAGTAAATTGAAGTGGCAATGGGCCGGCCACATAGCTCAAAGAACAGATAACTGATGGGGAAAAAAGGTTCTCGTGTGGCAGTCTCGTACCGGTAGGCGTAGTGTGTAGTGTAGGCGTCCCCCCACTAGATGTAGTGATGACCTGCTAAGACATGCAGGAAGTCGATGGATGTATGTGGTTTGAGACCGTTCTTTGTGGCATTCCTTGGGGGAATTCCTTGGGGCCTATGTTCAGCAGTGGACTTGTGAAGAGCTGTAATGATGATGATGATGATGTGTTGTTAATCGTAACATACATCTGCCGTAGAACCAGAGTAACCGATATAGTATTAGTAAACTTTTTTATTAGTCTGTGAAGTATATGTTAAGGCAAAAAACACCTTTATTTTATATTTTGGATATATCTATTTTGTATATTACTGTGTAGTATACAGTAAAATACAGCTAATTTAATATACAATATTAAAAACTTAATGATTTAATTTTCGACCACTGGGCGACTGCTAGAAAGTAATATTATTCTCAGTTAATAAAAAGTCATGACCAATAATATTGTGCTCTCTTGTAGAACTTCTTTTCTATATGATAATCCATCTAGGTAACTAGTTATCCATCTACCTACTTAGGCAAATTTATAAATAAATTTGCTTTTTGGAAACATATAACCCGTGTGCGTTCCATTTTTAAATATCGAGCATCTCAAAACTTATTGAATGACCTACATATTAACCGGATGACTATATTACCCTCACGTACTATAGATGTAGAATCTCTCACTTCTATGAGACTAACTAAACGAGAGATAGATAACAGTAATATGTACAACAAGAAGATACTTCATTTACCTAGTATAATTTAACCTCCTTTTATTACGCTAAGACGTAAGGTGGTAAGTCGCACTGACTTGTCACGAGGTGTGTGTGTGGGAAGCACTGGCTTATAAATATAGTTTAAAAAATTCACGTGTTCCCACTTAACATCAGTGTTAAATATATTGCCGATAGTTATTGGGAACACAACGCTTGACGTTGTCGACGAGTATGTTTACCTAGGACAAATTATGCGACTAGGTAAGTCAAACTTAGACAGAAAGGTCAATTAACGTATCCAACTCGGCTGGAGCTGGACTTCTCGACACGTACTCCAAAAGTTGAATGCACGAGTGCACAATAAGTATGTTTCTAGTGATGAAATATGGATTTGAGACAAGGTCCTGCTGACCGTATGAAGATCAAGGTCGCTCAGCGAACTATAGAGAAAACTGCTCGGATTTTTTACGGCTTTTTAAAATCATTAACTTCGTAATTAACGATTTGTATGAAATTTTATTTAGATAATGATTTACGCTTTAAGTATATCTAAGTAGGTTTTATCCCTGAGAAAATTATATTTTTTTAACGTCCAAGTAAGGTTGCCCATTAACAATTTCATGTGCCAATATCGATCGAAATCAATATACAAGTGTAATACGAAATTTTAAAGCAAGTCATTTTTCTCTATGCTACCACAGCGTTTGTATTGTAAAACTACAATATATTTTAAGAAATGTCTTAATTACGAAAAATTAATGTAATTTGAGGTCTTTCATAAATCTTTTAACTGTGTCAATAAAATAACATTCAAGCGTATTCCACACTTAACCGTGATGTGGCTACAGCAGACATTACTAAACAATGTGAATGTCTCACTAAAGCCGACTTACGTGACTAAAGGTTCGCAATTAATACAACATAAATACAGGTAATGGAATAAGTTTACTTGAAAATGCATTTAATACAAAATGAACTCAAAATATTACAGATTAAAAATAGTTTCGCTTTGCACGTTTTAGTCTATTTGTCTTTAAGTGGCATTTATTTGTGAACCCGAAAGCACATAATCTATTTTAGCAAACACAGTTGAGGCATCTCCGTACCTCTGCTTCGCTATCCAGTTTTTCACCACATTACCATTTCAAACAGGCATTTATTCGCCGGTTACGAGGGTAGGCCACTAATTAGGCCGAATTAGACAGATTGGGATAATCAGCGGGACACGATTTGTGCATTAAAACTCTTGACTCGGGTATCACGTGACTCGTAATTAGGCGATTACCGAATCCAATCGATTTAATGAAAGTGAGATAGCGGCCCCACTAGCCCGCCCATTAAAGTTATGCCGTGATGGAAAAAAAAACTATTTAAATAATGAGTATAATTATATATTTTTCACGAACGCACGAATGTTTCGACTGTTGCGGTATCATTAAGAGTTTTATTGTCTTAATAGAGCTAATTATATATTTTTTTCGGCACTTAATTGATGCGCTGTAGGGAAGAGCATTTATTACAAAATGTGAAATGTCATGGTTTAAATGAATACGTTATGTTAATGCCGAGTTTAACGGGCTTGTAAGTTGCGCTGATAATGTTTTAGATTTTTGTGGGGCCGTTTTGTTCGCGGGGAATTAGTCTTGCTCGGTTGCTGATGGATTTTTGTGTAATTCACTATCGTTGCTTTATAATAGACCGGCGTCTTTTGTAATTAACTATATCATTTTATTGTTTTTAATAATTCGAGTAGAAAGTTAATTTTAACGTTTCTCGATTGTTTCGTCAGTACTCTGCAAGTGCAGCCATGACCGATCGGTTAGGAATTAAATGAACTTGTTGGATGTTAAATATGTACATGCACTTCAACGATTAGTGACGCTGTCATAATCTTACATGTACCAAAACATATACTACGTAGTTTAACAGTTTTAAGGGGATATAGTAAGTCAGCTCAAATTCTAATTTCACCCCACTTCCCCGCGCGTCGTATGCTATGTACCGACATGTTTGTAATCACTAATACTGTAAGTAGATAGGTCGTTAGATACTTATTTCATTAGGTTTATCATATTTATGCCTGTTTCTTAACGCCAACCCAGTCGCTTCTTATTTTTATTCACAGTCCCATTTTAATTTACGTCGTCCTGTTGCGTAATGTGTATTCTGAATTCTGATCGTAAGCGACACAATTTCTCCCTTCAAAAGCGTAAGCTATACTAACGGGGCGCCAGAAATCAAGCTTCAAGACGCCGATAGTTTAGGTAATTTCTTTTTACAGTGAAAATAATGGTATTTAAAAAAAGTAAATAACATAAGCACTGCTTTATAGTTAGTTCAGTTAGTATGCAAAGTTTCATGATTTTATTTAAAGTATTTTATGAATAACAGCGGTTTATTGTTCAGTTTGGAGGTAACTTTGGATTTTTTTCTATCGAGAAAATTTTACGGAATCGTCCTTAACGTTAATCCTCAACTTTACCATATATTTATTTCAAAATTAATGCTGCAATACTTTCGGCATAACGGAGGATCTTGCTAAGCCATTTGAGGTTATATTTCCCCTTAACAGTACCTACATTGTCATTGAAATGTATTAAGTTGCAACATGGTTGCAACAAGACTTAAGTGTATTATTGAACTACTTACAGTCGGTTTCAACAAATAATTTCATAAATTAGTAGGAAGAACGTAGTAAATTTTGTGCACCGTCACTGTCAGCAGATCGTCACTAGAAAATAAGATTATTTCGGGCCAAACAGAAGCTGGAGTTTTTCATGACGAGGGCAAAGTCCATCTGTTGTTAAAGTAGATGCTGTAGCCCATGACCATCTACATCCATCCCCGATTAATTATAAAAGTTCAGATGCGTTGTCACGCCAGAGGACTATAATGGTGTGCCTCATTATTGTAGAGTGAGTGACGGCGATCGTGTTCACCTCGACCCATCTCGGTGATTGAGTCTGTTCTATCTGTTGCGCGTGGTAGGAATGCTTTGTTTGTTCGGTATATTATGACCTAGTTTTTACCGGCGACGATCTCTGCTTCTATACATTGGAAGGTGTAGGACATAGAAAGTATTTTAAATTCATCCGCTTATAAGCCATCATGAAACTTGGCGATAATTCACTATCATACAATAGCATTAGAGCTGAGTAAGTGTTGAAGTGTGTGTATTGGCGGGAATGAAGATATTGATTTTTAAAGTTTTTATTAAAAACTAGAGTCTGCGTGGTTAGAAAAATAAATATCAAGTTGTAAAAAAGGTAAGTTATAGGTTTTTCATACATTTATCGTCTAATTTATTTTCGATTTTATGTAAAGTTAGTTTTTTCGAAATGTTGCAATATATCTACATTATGCGTTTTGTTGTTTATAACTTTTGTTTGACTCTTGTTTTTGTTTTTCCTTTTTAGCATGCCTCGTCAGAAGTGTGATGGAGATATCGAAGACCTTCTCAGGCGTTTAGAAAATGGGGACATCTCAGATGACGAGGAAGACGTAGGGAACGAAAATGATATTGATTACTATCCAAATGTACAAGATATTTTGAGTTGGATATTGACAATGATAATGAGGAAGTCGATGAAGACCCTCCACTTGTATCTGAAGAAGAACCTACCGAATCTGCTGAATCTGCGTCTGAGCAACCTACTCCAGGGTTTTCATCTGCTCTATCAGTACCGGGTATTCTTGGAATTGCAGCTTGGAGATCTCGTAGCAGAGAACTGATATGGAAAAAGCGTAATTTGGTATGTAATGAAGATCGTATTGCCTTCTTAGGATGCTCAGAATTACCTCCAGAAATAGCCGACCTGCAAACTCCATTCCAATTTTTTTCTTAATTCATGAATGACGCAATAATTACTAAAATTATAGATGAGACCAATTTAAATATTGTCCAAAAGAGTGTTACCTGTGCTCCTGTAACTGTAACAGAAATACGCAAATTTTTGGGGATAATAATATTCATGTTAGTGTTTCACTATCCTAGTGTGAGATCATACTGGTCTAAATAAGGCTTTCTTCCAATCATGCAAATCATGACGGTCAACAGATTTGAAAAAATAAGTTCGGTAATTCATTTTAATGACAATTCGGAACACAAACCTCTAAATCATCCTCAACATGATCATCTCCACAAACTAAGACCATTACTTGATCACCTAAACTAACTCCAAACACTAAACCTAAACTCTTCATTTGTACGTGCTGCACCATTCGAACACAGGTTGTCTTTAGTTGAACAAATGTGTGCTTCCAAGTTAGATCATTTTATAAAGCAATATCTTCCAAATAAGCCACACAAGTGGGGTTTCAAGTTATTTGTACTATGTTCTCTGTCAGGATATGCTTATAATTTTGAAATATACTGACAAGCAAGATTTTACCCAGGCTCCAGGTGAACCAGATCTGGGAGTGATCGGAAATACCGTCATTCGATTATGTCGTTTGATTCCTCGTAAGGTAAACCATATAGTTTACTTCGATAATTTTTATTCTTCAATTCCTTTGTTATACTACCTTCACAGTCAAGGCATTTATGCTCTGGGAACTATCCAAAGAAATAGGCTTGGTAAAAATTGCAAACTACCAGCACAGAAGGAATATATGAAAGATTCTCTACCTAGAGGATCTTATGAGGAGCAAGTGGCAGATTATGAAGGTGTAGATATATCTGTAACTACCTGGAAGGACAATAAAATGGTCACATTACCATCTACTTATGTTGGAGCGGAGCCGGCGGAGACAACCACCAGATACGATAAAACACAGAAAAAAGAAATTACTATACCCTGTCCAAAAATTATTAAGGACTAGAACGCTCACGTGTGGGGCGTTGACCTCATGGACAGATTCTTGGGAAGGTATAGAATAAGAATAAAAAGCCGAAAGTGGTTTATTCGCATCTTCTATCATTTGATCGATATGGCAGTTATAAACTCATGGATTTTATACAAAAAACAAATGATAAAAATCAAACAAAAAAAATTACTATGAGATTTTAGAGCTGAATTAGCAGAGGCGCGGTGTAATTATAAAAAAAGTGTAGAAAAGAGAGGAAGGCCATCTAGCAGTAACATAGAAAAAGAATTAGAAGCAAAGAAACCCCGTCGTAAGCCGGTGAACCCTGTACCTCTAAAAGATGTGAGGACGGATGGTATTTATCATGAGAGAAGATATGAAAAAAATAGATGCAGACTTCCAGGTTGCAAAGGGTTTTCACGTACGGAGTGCACAAAATGTCTGGTTACCCTTTGCCACACAAGAGAAAGAAGTTGTTTTGCTGCATTCCATTTTTAGCAGTTCAACGCATAGCGTAGCCAAAAGGCAACATATCTTTTTCTTTCAATAAACTCGTATTTTATTACTTGGGATTTTTTTATTAATTTTCCTCACACACATAGGACTGTATTTACACAAAAATAAATTTCTTTTTACAAAATAAAAAGTCATGCACTAAAGGGTTAATCACGGGAGCATTTTATAAACATCGCGACAACTACCGCCAGCACGAAGAGAAGTCATTAAAACGTTCTTGTTTTAAAAACTTCTGTACCTATGTCTCTTTTTCGTATTACCGGCACCTCGGCGCGTAACTATCTCGAGCTGATATCTAGCAGTAGCGCTGAACTAATCACAATTTAGCGGCCGTTATGACGGGGATCGGGTGACGGCCGTGCGGTGTACAACTCTCCTTAGTAAATATATTTAACGTTACTTCGGTAAAGTGATCTCGTTCTCGGCGACGACTGGATATAAGTGTCCAACGGATATACGCTTCATCAAATCGATCACCGACAATTAATAGTTGGTACACTTATAGAGTAGTGTCGCGCTGTGGACGTGCTAAGAAAAGACGATTTCGCCGAGTAGTGGTGGGTTAAGAGAACCTACTACCCCATATCTTCTCGTGGGATAAAATTTCCCGTGGAACGGAGATGGGAAGCAGCATATTCGTGATTACAATTCAAAATAATAAAAACCTATGGTTGGCAACCCATGTGGTGCGCTCGCTAGTACGCTTAGTAACTATGGCAAAATCCCCCCCCCCCCCTGTCATGCAATCTGTGGGGGGGGGCTATGTCCGGTTGTGGACTTATAGGCAGTAATGGAACTAATAAATAGATAAATTACGTTATATATTAAATAATAAAATATCATTTTTATTACACGGATAATGAACATCTGAAATCAACTTCAAACAAAGATGTGTTCCTTTCCTGAGGATTGAAATACGTTCTGCGTACTCTATGACCTGTGACTTAACACCCGGAGTGTTAAGTGTAAATTGGTGTGATATATCAATATTTTTTTATTTGTTTGTTTCATTATAAATGATTTTCACAAACGCAACTAAATTCCGTAAGTGCTTTGCTACATAATGGTAGTTTCTTACATTAAATACTAATTAATAAATAATTTTGTTCGTAGGCATGGGATCACCGAACCCTGTAGGGAACAGTAATATGCTGCCTCCAGCAATGCCTTCCCCGATGCCGCAGCTCATCCTCGCTTCGGGACAGCTGGTCCAGGGCATCCAAGGTGCTCAACTCCTTATTCCCACATCACAAGGTAAATGTTGATTCAAGAACACTATATGTAGTATGTTAAATATCTCCAAGCTTTAACATTAATTAAAAGTTTCTTTACATCTTAATTCCTTGTAAAATGCATTAAGGTGTTATAAGATTGTCAAAATATAGGCTTAATTTTATAAAAGAACAATTTATACTTGTCATCAGGTATCGCGACGCAAACCATCCTTACGATACCGGTCAATCATGTGAACTCGAATGACCAAATGGTAAATCTGGCATTGAACAATGGCCAAGTTGTATCCACGTCGCTCGCCAACCTCCAAGCGATGGCCCAACCTCACCAGCTCCTCAACTCCAATCCGCAACAAACAGCGAACATTCGACCAAACATGTTAAACCCAACATTGCAGAATGCGCTACTGAATCCGGGCTTGCCAAACTTCTTGACAAACGGCGCGACCAATGCGCAAGAGTTGCTCCAAGCGTTACAGCAGCCGCAAGGCAATCACAATCTTCTGCAGACGGTGCAACAGAACAATTTACCGCAACAGATGCAAGGACGTCGCTCGTCGTCGCCACGCCCAGATAGACATTACAAAGAAAGAGAGAACTTTGACAGATTTGGTGGAGGTCCCAGGGATAGAAATGAAAGGGATAATTCTGGTGCTGCTGCTTTAAACAGTATTAACAGGTTAGTGAATTTTCGTACTCATATTTTGAGACCAACATTATAGTAGTACATCCTTATTCAGCTAATTATCGCAACGACTGCTACGAAAAAAAAATTAAGAAATGAACTTAAGATTGAAAAATCTTTAACATTCTTTATTATTCTATTAAACAGTAGCAGTAGGCTTGTTAAAATGTTTCCAGAAGCCAACATGACTTTATCACAAGAAATTGTTAATCCTGCGATCCTGAATTACTGTCAGCTATTATTATAAAGGTGTAGAACTCGTTCATTTGTCAGACTGTCAACCTTACTACTTTGAAAATTAGGCTCTAATGAAACGCAAGTACGTTTGCCAGCGAGCGTGGGTGCAATGACAAATGTTGGTTGTAATTACGTGACAATGAGTGTAATTACTCGACCGACGCCAACTACGCACGGATCTTGTGCTATATATGAATGTGTGCTCGCCTGCATATGTGTGCGTGTGTGTTCATTACTAATGAACGGCTGTTGTCAGCCGCCAAGTAGGGTAAGCTTTCAAATCGGATTTCATACTGTCAATTTATTTATATTAATCGGGATAGGACACCGAAAACAAGTTTACATTTTATTTATTGCCCTTTAAGTTTAGACACGAGTTTAGATTTTAAGTTTTTACTAGATAGTAGGTCACCTTCTTTATCTAGGAGTACTGGGTACGCACACCTCTCTCACTTATTTCGGGCGCCAAATTGCAGGGCTTACACTGGTGTGTTGCGGCCTTAAGAGTATATAGAGCCAGTGTCCTCCGGAGGGTTAACGCTTCTGTAGCCTTCTATGCTCTAAGTAGGCTGTATGTTTGTTTGTAACTTCAGTTTTATGAAAAAAAAAATACCAATACGTTGTTGTCCCAGTTGTCTGAAGAAGAAGCTATTAAATGTGCACAATATAGCGTTGCTATTAAAATATTTCAATTGTAGTAAAACCACGTTGTTACTTTATTACAGCAGCAATAGGAATTAGTTGATTCGACCAGGGATACCACTCGCACAGAATATCAACATAAAACAATTTCATAATACTACCATGTTTTACAGTGTAAGTGGCAGAAACTGGATATCATTGTAATGATAAGTACGCTTTGCGACGTAGTGGTGGGAGCTGACAATGCATCTGATTTTGAATAATTACTAATTATAATAAGAACTTAATTGAGGATAGTCCACTTACCATCATATAAACTCTATGCTCGTTTTACACCTTTACATGGACTAAAAAAATACTAATCTTCACCTTACAATTAGAAAATGTAGATAATAGAAGTATACGAAGAAGCAGAAAAGTCGTGTCAAGAAAAGTACTTCAAGTAAAAAAAATAAGGCTTAAAACAAGAAATTATATGAAAAATAAATTAAAATTTCTGTTGGCAAGTGCCATTTCATAAATCTACTACCGTTTTCAAATAAAAACTACTGTAATGGAAGAAGTATCGCCTAAAAAACTACGCAGATATTGTTTCGGCCGTCTTTCATTCTTCGTTAATACGTAAGAACTAAATTAAAATATAATCAATTAAAGTATAATTCGTTAATTTTTGTTTTCCATAAACTATCTAGTCACGTCCGTTGCTGAACATAGGTTCCCTTAAGATTGTCTTAGAGATAGCAACCCCAATTTTTATCCAGTTGTTATTATAAAGATGCTACTGCACATCCAGCTTGTTTCCCTATTTTGCCTTTTAAAACACCCACGATATTTGGGGTAGTAAATATTCCTACGTCACTACACTGCCGACAAATACACGGAGATTTTATTTTGCATCATTTAAAAAACCGAACACGTTCAACTTCTGCTGGTACATATTATATGGTCTCACAATTTTAACGTAAATTATCATAACAATGTTTCTATATTGGTATGGTGGGTGACAAAAACCAGTTACATTGTTACGGAAGCAATGGAAATATTCGTGGTGGTTTGAATCCACCTTTTGACTATTGTTGATAATAACTCATAACACAAACAATTTTAACATAATTGGAATAGTTTACGTTTATAAGTATTCTTTAAAAAAAAAAAAGATATGCTAACAAAACATTCCATCTTAGTACTCTCTTACAGTAGGTGGTGATTTATATTTTGTAACGATTCTTCAAGAATTTATTTCTCAGTTACTATTTAACTGTGGTCACCCTAAGCAAATATATAAAGTTAAAATAAAAGTAAAGTTACAGCCTATATACGCCCCACTGCTGGGCACAGGCCTTCCAGTGTGTCCGCCGCGCTACCTTAATGCGTGTTGGCGAACTTCATATGTCTTCGAAATGTTTTTTTTCTTATTCCTCAGACATGCATGTTTCCTCACGATGTTTTCCTTCACCGCCGAGCACGTGGTAAATCAGCACTTAAAATTGCAATTAACAATTTTATTGGTGCCGGCGGGGATCGAACGCGGGTTACTCGCGTTCTGTTATATTTACAGCGAGCGTTAACCATCTGAGCTACCACGGCACGCAAATATATAAATGTATTTATTTTTAATTGGGTTAACGATTCTGAAAAAAGTTACTTGAGTGGCAACCTTTTACTGGTAAATGCAGTGTAAAGCAACTAGATTGAGTGACAACCCGATGAACAGTACATACCTACGTAGAAAATCGATAAATGTAGGTGGCTTAGAAGAATCTTACAAAATATTTCAATTTCAATTTTATAGAATTCAATTTATGACAGGGTCAAAATTTGGAGGATAAAAACGACACAGAACTGACTGCAAATAATGTTCAAATAGTTTAAAATTCTTAACGGCTTTAATCATTTACTTTGTAACGCAATCTCTGAATCAAATAGCCAAGTTTAGTTTTGAATTTTAAAATAAAAGTAAGCGGTAATCGCACTGTAAATGACTAGACTACGTTACAAACAAATGCCTGAAGCAACACATTTATTTTAAACTAAACTCTTATCTATAAAGAATAACGTTACTTTGATGTAAGTTATAGCGTAAAATAATTTATAACATATCTAGAATACAAAGGACTAATTAAAACTGAATGACTAATGTGCTGCATGCAAAAACAATATTACCATTTCAATTCATTTCGTATAGAAAGAGTCGATGCTATCGCACGGGGTAACGTCCCTTTGCTCATTAACTGTAATTATTATATTTCGTTCTGGCAATTCCTTATTTAAAAAAGTAATTAACAAAACCTCTTTGTGTGTATTTTTTACATGTAACACTGCTCTCAAATGAATAATACTAGTACTATTTAAAATAAAATATCATAAAATCATCCAAAATAATCTTTTTGAATTTGTAATGGAAAATTGGCGGTATCTTTATACAATGAAAATAAATACGTCAACAATTTACTGCATTATGGTTACATTCTTATTTGGCTAGTCATTTTCAGCATACGTAAACTGGTAGTGTATGCATTCGAATTAAAAACAACGTACTTGCTATAACTAACTATTTGTAGGGATAAATTGCATTGGAAAGATGCGATTAGTTATTTGTCATCGCACCATGTGCTAGTGAGATAAAAAATTAAATGACGTGCCGTTCGAAAACGCGCTCGAACTTTGTCAAAATACACCGTTTATCAATATTTACGCGTAGGTACTTTTTTCTTTTGTAATGGACTCGTACGGTTTGTGCTAGTAGTAGAAAAATAATCCTATTTTTTATAGTACAAGTGTGACAAACGGGCACCATAGTACACCTGATGATAAGTGCGTGCAATCGACCATGGACGTCTACATCCATCATCGATTAAGAATCAAAATGCAGATGCGTTTTCATCACTGAGGTCTACGATGGCATGCCCCGTTACTTCCAAAAAGGAACATCCTCTCCGTTCTCTACACTTGCCATACAAAACACATCAGTTTTATTATGCTGTTTCACGCTGGTATTCAGCCAATTCATTTGGGCTGCAGATGCTGTAGCATGTATAGCTAGAGTGGTTGCAGCTTGGCTCTATCACGTAAAAATCCCCTATATATTAATTTGTTCAGAAACTTCCGAACAATGTGTTGATGTGAAACTTCAACTCGGAAATTTCAACGATAAACTAAGTCGGAAGACAGTCTATGACAACAGTGTGTTAAGTTTTTAAGGCGCCCAAGCGGGCAAAACAACTTGAGGTTTATATCAACATCACAGCAATGGTTTCGTTGCTTCCACTTCACATGTGCAGGCATTTAATATACAAAATAGCATCGCTTTTACGTATCAAAATTCACTTCAAACTAAATAATAATATTATATATGAATGATAAAACAGTAGTAACAGTACGCCGGTGGTTACGTTCCCACCAAAAATCCAATGAAAATTAACTTTTTTTTTAAATATTTTGTAGTTAATCAAATACAACAACCTGTGAACAGTCCACGGCTTAAATGAGGCCGTTCACATGTTTAAAAGTAGTTACCACGATGGCTACGGTTGACAGGATTGACGTTTGCAATAGACTATATAAGGTGTTTGGCATTTCTGGCAAAGAGCTAAATGCTACAAAATATCAATCGCCTTTATAGGCTTTTTATATTTGCAATGATTGTATCGCTATCTATTTTAGACCACAGACTTCCTGGCGTATCCCACAGTCGAACTAATTTTCTAGCGTAATCAACACACGTTTGATATCCCAGTAAGACATATAACGCACTATTATTACACCTAGCCCACCAATGATCCTCCTTACAATCTAGGGTTGTATAACTACTGACCATCACGGGGGACTGTAGCCAAGCATTGATAAGAAAGATCTTATAGCTTAAGAGGTGAGAGTAAGTCAGCTCAAATTCTAATTTCGCCCCCACTTCCCCGCGCGTCGTATGCTATGTACCGACATGTTTGTAATCACTAATACTGTAAGTATATAGGTCGTTAGATACTTATTTCATTAGGTTTATCATATTTATGCCTGTTTCTTAACGCCAACCCAGTCGCTTCTTATTTTTATAACGGTTATTTCCCATTTTAATTTTACGTCTTCCTGTTGCGTAATGTGTTTTCTGATCGTAAGCG